TAGGAAAGATGGGGTTTAAACTACTCATTCCTACTCGGGTTGTACTTTTTTAAAAAATTGTGACCAGCAAGTTGTACGGTGGTTAAGGTGCTGGACTCCCACATGGCTGACCACAGTTCAATCCCAGACCAGCAGGGTGAAAGTCACACTGGGAGTATGTGCATGTGTGTCCAACATTCTGAGAGGAGAATGGAAGAGAAGGGACTGTGGCATGGCCATCCTCCCCCCAGGAGGTGATTTCTCACTTTCTGTCTCTCTAGTAAGCACGCTCACCCTATGGCAAAAACTTAAATAAATAAATAAAATTATAAGTTTACCCTATTTCCATCAGGAACTATACACCACTAAATTAAAGGAAAAAACTGTTAAAAGGTCATATATCAGGGCCAGCCTGTGGCTGATTAAGGTGGCTGAATCCCAATAGCCAACTATGTAGTTAAAGTCTCAGACCCGGCAGCTTGAAAAACACGTCAGCTGAGTGTGCGTACCTATGTATGCATGCCCCAAATCCCAAGAGGCGAATGGAGAAAAAGGGACTGTGGCATGGTCATTCCCCTGGAGAGTGTTTTCTCATTTATTCTCTCTTGCAAACACATATGACCTATAACAAACTGTGTGTGTGTTGATTTTTTTTTTAAGGTCACATACCAGGCAGCGAGTTTCACTATACTCACAATACTATAGTAACAAGATTTTTAAAAGAATTTCATCATGGGCTACCCAGTACAGCAGTGGTTAAGGTAACTGAACTGTGTGGTTCAAGTCCTTGATCTGGTGGTTTGAGAAACAGGCCAGGCCCATGTGCATGCAAACCGGAATCCAAAAAGGAAGAAGAAATGGAGTACAGACTGCAGCGTGACCACCCCCCCGTGGGAGTTGCTTTCTCTCTCGCTCGCTCGCTCTCTTTCAGGCAAGTGTATGTAGCCTCTGGCAAAACCTGTGTTTAAAGGTTATCTTATAACTTACTAGTTTAGACATTCAACTCTATCTGTACTTCACATGTTTGGTTTCTGACCTAAAACCTTTTCTCCTCTCATCTATACGCTTTCGCTTCCAAATGCTAATGCCTCCAACTGAGAAGTGATACTAAGCTTCATCAGTGGCAAATCCAGCTACTCACCGGCCATCTATACCTAATGGAACTGCTGTCACCCAAACTGAATACATCACAACTTGAACCCCTCTACCACTCTTCCTTGACAAAAAAAAATCCTATTCCTCTTCACATGGCTTCCCACCTGAGTAAAAAGCACAAATCAGAAACCTAGAGTTTTACCCTCTTTGCTTAAATCAATCAAATCACTGTCCTGCTGCTCCCAATGCTCAAATTCAGAACTACTAGCACTTGGGACCCGCAGTTAGCATAATGGCCATGTCGCTGGACTCCCATGTAGCCGACCGCGGTTAGCGTCCTGGACCCGAGGGCTTAAAACTCACACCGGGCACGTGTGCGTGCGTGCCCAAGATCCCTAGAGGAGAATGGAGGAGAAGGGATTGCGGCGTGGCCATCCCCCCTGGAGGGTGATTTCTCGCTTTCTGTCTCTCTCTCTGTCTGGCGAGTGCACGTGCCCTATAGCAAAAAAAAAAAAAAAACCCTCTGCAAAAAAAAGAACTACTAGCACCATTTGTCTTTGGCTTTATTCTGCTCTTCAATCCACTCTCCTCACTACAACTAGGCTGACCTTATAAAAATGCAAATCTGATCACTTCAGTCCTCTAATTTAAATCTTTCAGTACTTTATCTGATACCTATTATAATCATCAAAGTTTCTTACACAGTGGAAGCTCAGAGATACAATGAGAAATCAACTTGTAGGTCTGATACAAAGTGAATCAACAGGAAATTTTTTTTCAAATCATAAAAATACTTATACAGACATATAACAGCAGGCACATTTAAAATTTAAGAAAGGCAAGTGGCAACATTTGTAAAAGCAAAGACTGAAAATAACTTCAAGTCCCTCAAAATGGAGTGCTGTTCAGTCAGTAAATAAGGCACTTACTGCTGAATGATCTCTAGGATCCAAGCTATATACAGGGTGTACAGATGCACCCACTTGCTTATGGTGTGTGTGTCTTAGGAATAGCAACCCACAGGCGCAGGCATGCTGGAAACATCACAGGAAGGAGGCACAAGCGGCTGGAAGCAATGGCTGTCTCCAAGGGAGTCTGGAGGATAGGAGGAGAGACTTTATACGACAGTGCTCTTCTGGGCCCGTCCACTTTTACATTATGTCTAGTTATTACCTATAACTTTAATATGAGTTTCTGCCCAGTCTGTTCCACAAGCGAAATTTACAAAGCAAAGTATGGACGGCAAAGATCTTTTTGTATTGCATCCCTATACCAACGTTGCAAAATTAAGGCCTGATTGTTGGCTGTAATGTTATATCTCCTTCGAGACAGCCCAGTTCAACCAACAGTTTATTCAATCTTTTATTACTATCTGAGAAAGCTGTTAGCAATGACACTGTGAACATTGCATAATTTTTGTATTTGCTCCTTAGAGAAGCAGGACAGCATCATCGAGCAGCAGAGATTTATTACGAAACTGACATTAAAATCTTCAGATTAAGGTGAGCTTCAAATCTTACTTTTCTAGCAAATTCAAAACAACGAATCCAAAAAGAGTGCCCTAGACTTTCAAAAACCGTGCAAAATCTCTCTAGAAACGGAGGCACGGCTAAATCCATTACTGCCATGTATTTTAACCCTTGGGGACCCTGAAGTGTCAGGCCCGCAGACCTCACGCCCACTGGAGCAGCGAGACCTCACAGGGACACACGCACCCCGCCCGCGCTCGCGTACCCTTCCTTCTCCCTCCCTCCCTCCCGCCCCCAGCCCAACCCTCCGAACAGGGTCTCCAGGGTCTCGGCGGCCCAAGCCCCACTGGGGAGTACACCTGGCTAAGCAAACACCCCCTCCGGATTGCACCGCAAAGCCTTTTCCACCGAAGAAAGGCTCTCGACCAGGGGGAAGATAACAAGGTTTGCTTGGGTGGAGGTGGGCGTGAGCCGCTGCAGGAGGGTAGGGGAGAGGCCGAAGTCCGCCGCGGGGTGTGGAGGGGCTGACCCCGGGCTCCCCGGAGGGAGAGCATCACGCCCGGGGATGGAGGGGCGCCAACGGGCGGGGGGGGGCGGGGGG